CTACCTACCTACCTACCTACCTACCTACCTACCTACCTACCTACCTACCTCATACTTGGATCACATCTGCCCATTTGATGCTGATGAAGCTGAATCAATAGTTCATCTGCCATTCTAATACTTATAGAACAGAGATATAATTAGAAAACAGCTACTTCTAGTTAAGACTCCTGGATGGATGGAGAAATATTACATACATTTCTTATTAGGTGATCAGTGCCCCAAAATAATGGGAAAATGGTGTGTCAAAACATGCTCAGTGGAAAAAGCAACTGTACACACATGAATTCTATAAACATCTGCTATTATTATTATAATCCGTGTTTTTTGTGCTGATCAATGATCAAATAAATTACTTAATGAGAGAAAATTCTGTCAAACATATCTTGATTTACAGATAAAAATTGCTATTACCTACCAGCTGGCTGTTTAGGCGGTGTTTCTGACTCTGATGAATGTTTCTTCCTTTGATGAAAATATCCAGCATGAGGTTCTTTGCGAATTACTTAACAAAACATAAAACCATAGTAAATACCAGCATTTCATTTTTTTTTAATTATTGTTTTAGTCAAGACCCTCCCCCCCAATGTTTACATGGTCAAATTTGTCTTTTCTTTTTCTTGGAATTACTTAAGGGATCAAGCGTAATGAACACAAACAGCAATAGCTTCAGTAAATTTTGTTAATCATATACTGTGAATAACAAATAAATTACCCGGATTAGCTTCTGGTTGATCTTGACAATGCTTTGCCTGATAATCCAAGGTAATGTCTGAAGGTAGCACAAACAGCCCATCAAGAATCCCATCAATCACAGCTTGTAGATTGGAGTCCACGTTGGGACGAAGCTGAGAGAAGAACTCCACTGCCCCAATCCCAACCAATTGTTCCACAACAAAAGGATGCTAAAATTACAAACACAATATTGAATTTAAAATGATCAGAAAAGTGGCTAAGCTCTTCTGAGTGAAGAAAGCCCTGGGTTTTTAATTAAAGCGACCTTTCCAAAAAACCAAACCAAACAACAACAACCACCCTCAGCTTTTCCCTGGTTGCAAATATATGATTTGGGGCTTGGGTATCATGTTTGGGCTGCCTGTTTCGGGTAGCATTTGCTCACTTGTCGTTATTATATTTTATTACATACAGTACTATATCTATATATCTATATAACACTATATACACCATATATGATACATTCACTACGTGCACTATATAGTACATACTATAATAAGCACTATAATAGCATATATTTTTCCTTTGTATATTATTGGATTGTGATTAAACTTAATTGTGATTGAGGTAGTTTAGAGTCTTATAAATAAATAAAGTAATCTAGTTCCCAATGTTTTGTTGACAGACACATTCAGAACATGCTATACAGGTAATGCTCATTTAACGACCATTTGTTCAGTGGCCATTCAAAGTTACAATGGCGCTGAACAAGTGGCACTTACGAACAGCCCTCGAAGTTCTGGCTTTCCCAGCATCCCCGCAGTCATGTGATCACGATCTGGGTGCTTGGCAACCAGATCATACTTATGATGGTTGCAGCATCCTGCAATCACTCACATGAAAGCCATTTGCAACCTTCCCTGCCAGCTTCCCACAAGCAAAGTCAATAGGTCACAAATTGCTCCAGTGAGTCACTCACAGTCTCCCCCACCCAGTAGCAGCCTCCCCAGCCCTGCTGCGCTCACGCTGTGCCTCGCCGGCTACCTGCACACCCTCTCCTGCACTTTACAACTGCATTGCTTAGTAACAGAAATTCCAGTCCCAATTATTGTTAACTGAGGACTACCTGTATTGGTAAAATTTTAAAATATACCCTTTTGGTATATTTTAAGGTTTTTGTTCCAAAGGAATGTTTATATTAAATTGAGTAATACAGTATATTTTTTTAATTATGGGTATAGACATTAGTTATTTGCTATTTCTATTACTATTCAGGAAAAAGGAATACAGACAGCAATACCTTTAACAAGTTGGTCACTAAGTTCAAAACTTCTTCCTTCATTGGTACTACAGGAAAGTTGAACCATTCCAAAAGACTGAGAAATAGTAGCTTTTCTTGAACCAGATCATCATACGTAATCAAATTATGATTTAATTTACATAAAATATTCTTAAGTGCTCTTTCTCTAATTTCAGACAGCTCATGACCTGTTAAAATTTTTAAAAAAGGGAAACATTGCAAAAGAAAGTTACATTCTACCTTTTGTGTGCACACACACACAAACACACATTTTATCAGTCCAAATCAATCCACTGCAGGATGAAGGTCTCTTCACTGAAGATTACAGATCATAATCTATCACACTGGTTCAGTGCAGGCTGCTAGGCAGATGTTTTTTAACTTCTTTATCTAGGGCTGAGAGACAGTGATTGGTCCAAAGTCACCCAATGAACTTCTGTGGCTGCAGATGGACTAGAATCTAGGTCTCCCCACTCCAAGTCCAGCAACCTAACTACCATGCCATACTGACCCTTGTATGTGTGATACCACACACACAACTGCATATTCAGTAAGAAGTATTGCTTTGCATACAATTATCTGGTGAATTTATATTGTTGAACTACCACACTGAAAATTTAGGGTATTTTCTTAGGTAGGACAAGGCATGTGACTTGTTCATCATCTTCCAGCCATGATCTCCTATAATCTATTCTCTACGCATTTTTTTTCTTCTTTTATTATCAGGAATAATATATTTTCTTGTTAAAAACTGCCATTATCTAGAGCAGAGTACAGGGAGATTGCTCTGGAGCTGAGGCTATCTTTAGCATTTTTTTTTCTTTCCTCACTGCTTTAAAACTAGAAGAATTATACCAATCTAAGAACCTCCAGTGGAAGAACAACTGAATATGGGCTATAAATACCTCTCCAAGAAAGGGGGTTGACTGTCAAATCCTACTCTGGGCAAGCAATTTCCCCATAAAGTTTCCAAAACATCTCCCCAGGCACCCCCATTTCCATAGGATTAGCGGTTTGCGAAAGATTCTGCGTGCAGCTTATTCTGGGAATAAAACAGTCCTGGGCAGATGAAAACGGAATATGTTCTAGGCAGAGGTATACTAGTCTGGGGAAAATGGGACAAAGGGAACCTTATTGGAGACACTGGCATAGAGTGGGGCAGCAGCTAAAGGAAAAAAAGGAAATGGAAGACTCAAGAAGCTGGAAGAGAATGAGGCAGGATTTGAAAGTCCTGACAATGGAAGAAGGAAAAAAATGCTTAGAGAATCCCACAGGCTTTCAATCCTTGCAGTACCTTTACTTAAAAAGCTACAACAGATACCTTGTTAAAACTCTCTTGCCTTTTCCATTACCAATGGAATTTAGAAATGTGATCTTGAATGATCCTGTCTCTTCTGAATCTAGACCATACAGTATATCTGGCAATTCTCATTTCATGTATTGTTGGTGTCTCACCTGCAAAATCTTAGTACAGTGGTACCTCGGGTCACGAACGCTTCTGTTCATGACCAGTTCGGGTCATGAATTCTGGGAGTTGAAGTCCACTCATCTTAAAATGGCCAAGTTTGGACAACACTGCCTTAGAGTCAAATTGAAATCATTTTTTCCGTTTTAAGCACTCCCTTTGACACCCTCTTGCTAATAATGATAGCTAATCTATTTTTATGAGTTTCTTGTCTGCAATAGAAATGATGTTCCTCTGATACAAAAGTACCAGAATGTCAATGTTCAATCTTGACATTTTTACTCTGATAACATCCAGATTGCCTTGGCTCGTGGTTCTGACATTCCACATGCCAACGGTACACATATTATTTGCAGTGCTGCGCTTTTATTTTGTCTCTGGGCAGATGAACAGCTGGATATCCTTTTGGCTTTACCCCGGCCCTATCATCACCACTACTGCTACTTAGACTGGTCCCCTGCTCTGCTGCTAGTACTAATTAAGCTCTTTATACTCTTGCCAGCAATCTTATATTGTTGCAAAATATGTGTTTTAAATTCTTCCTCTGTTACGTTCAGCTGTCTAGTATTATCATCCAGCTGTTATACCACTAAGTATGATGGTAAGTACAGTTCACTTTACCAGATGCATAAATGTGAGCTGCAGCTCATGAAACCTTTGCCTTTTAATAAAACGTAGCAGTTGGAAAAGGTGCTGCCAGACTCCTTCTGAGTTTTTGCTGCCATATAAGTTTTTGCCAGCTCTCCTCCTACAACATATAGAGCTTACGACAAGTTTCTCTGCTAATCGTCTTGAGTAACTTTTCAGTTGGTTCTTGAATTCTGTTTCTTCCAGCAAGATCATCAATGATTAGATGTTAATTGTGTTAGAGTCTACTATTTATTTGCATTTATCTTTCTGACATAATAACCTTGATTATTGTTTTTGCAACTGCAATTTTGCCATTTTCTGATAGTTTGAATATCCCTTTTAGTTTCCAACCTCATCTTCGTTCATTACATTCTAGCCAATTTTGAGCAGTCCTAATGCAACAGTGTTAACATTTAAACCCTTTAAATTCCCCATATCATTGGCATTCCTTTTGTATATATGATCGTGAAGAACATTTAGCTATTTTACGTGGTCGCTAAGAGTTGACACCGACGTGATGGCATATAGTCATCAATCAATCTGTATAAATATATATATGCGACTTTGAGATGGGATCGTACTGAGAATCTACCAAACACAAAAACGAGAGAGGCGACATAGGAGCAGAATATGCTACTCTTCCTGCATGAAGTCGAGAGATTCTCACTGGGGTTTGCAAACCCTGATAAAACTGGATAGGAAGCTTGTGCGCAGCTAAAAAGTGATTCAGGGCTACTTTTTCTCACTCAAAAAGCAAAGCTTTTTGGATCAACTTTTATGGGTCAAAAAGTAAAAACGGTCAGAGGATAGGCGCTCACTCGCTCCCCGTTGCACACCGCGCGGGCGAATCAGGCACTTACGAAGTTTCCGGATGAGCGGCGTCAGCTCGATCGGGGGAGACCCCTCAGCGGCATAACCCCCATCCATCGCGGCCGCCTTCCCAGAGCGGCCCAGATTCAACCGCCGCGCCGCAGCGAACGCGAATGCGCTAGGAAAAAGCGGGAGACTATTCCTCAAGAGGCTGCTGGGAAGTGTAGTTCCACCTCTAGCTCCGCCCATCCGTTGTGTATAGTCGCAGACAAGGCTCTCTTAACCCGGGTAGTTTTCAGTGGTCGGTAATTCTCGCGAGTTTTGACTTGAGTGTTCTAGTTGCCTAGAGAACAGCCTTTTCTTCTCTCCTCCGAGCGTTGGGGGAGCGTTCTGGAACCGCTGCCGTTCCCGCGTCGGCTTTTTAACGACGAGATTTAGCTGCTGTGATCAAATGAATCCGCCTGTCTTTCAGCCCAGGTCTTCTCCACAGCGAAAGCTCTGCCAAAATTGTTTCGGTCACCGGGGTAACCCCTAGGCAAGCCTGTGCAGCAGCCTTTCTTAACCCGATCCCCAACGTAACAGTTGGGACCAGAAGTCTATAGAATTCCATTTCGTGAAGCTGTCTGAAATTTCTGTTGTCCAGACTGGCTGGGAATTCTGGGAGTTGTAATTGGGGAAATCTACTGTAGAACAATGCACCGTAAAGCTTAGTTCAACGCGGGTGAAACCTCATGTTATTTCCACCAGAACCATTTCTGGGAGTAGCGTTTGTTCTGGCAGTGTAGTGCTTCCAGTGGTGTGTTTTGTGCATGACTAGGACTTTTCAAACTCTTCTGAAGTGTGTGCTGGAATCAAATATACCCCTGGAATAATTTTGATAAGAGCACTTCTACGTGTGTATGTGTGCCTGCACGTGTGTGTGTGTGTAAAATTCAGGACATTTAACTTGCTAACACAGGTATGCCCACTTTTGTTTTTTGCTCACTTTCCTCCCGTTGGCATCACCACAGCATATTTTACTCTTGGTTGTGTTTACTCACTGAACCACAAGCTAAGCAACCACATTTCTAGGCTAGTATATTATGCAAATCCAGCTCATGGGGTAAGTTTATTATTAACTGTAATTATTTACTTCTCACCTATCCAAATAATCTTCCAAAGTGATTTAACTATATAAACAGTTGTAAATAAAAATCTAACAACAACAACAAAAACCTTCTAGGATCCTTTAATTCCACAGAAGTGTTAGAATTAAAGGCCCACTGAGGGAAGGGGTCAGCTGAACAGTCTTTGGTGATGACCTTTTCCTGCCTTCCTCCCTCTGAATGAGTGTGCCATATAAAACCAGAAAACTGGATTAACAGTAACTGGTGTGTCATGCAAAAGCTAACTAGAAAATTAAACATCAGTCTTGTAAGAAGAGACTAAGGGAACTGAAGATGTTTAATACTGAGAAATATGGCTGAAAGGAGAAACAATAGCTGTCTTTTCTGTGATATCTCTTCAGAAGTATCTCACAATACAGCACATGGCATAATGGTTTTAAGTTACAGAAAACATTGGATTGAATGTCACAGCAGCTTTCCAACAGAGCAATTTAATAGTAGAACGAACTACAAACATCAGGAGGACACGGGATTAGAGATGACTACCTTAGCAGAATTCATGGATAACAAGTTTTTTTTTCCTTTGCATAATACAAAGTTTAGAAAATGGGAAATAAATTATTTATTTGGACTTCAGCTGTTCATTTTAATGGTACTGAAGGCACGGCAGACTTGAAATCTGGATCTTCCTAGAAGTGCCTTTTTTAAATTCACAGGAAGTTGGTTATGAACTGAAACAACAATATGGGCTGGTATATCATATGCAATAGTATTTCCAACATTTTAATAATTTCATAAATAAACTTTCTAAAGAGAGAAAAGGGAAAAAAGGCCTATTTTATTGGCTGACTTCTGACTCATGTAGGCACAAGCATTTTTTTTCTAAACATAACACTAGGAATTCTGACACAAGTGATGAATAGCTTTTAAGCTTTGTGTTGTTTATACTAGAGAATGAGTACGAGAGAGGCATTTTAATGAGAGCTTTTGGTCAATACAAGTTTTAACTCTCATAATTTCCAACTTCCATGGTTGGAATTATGGGAGTTATAATCCAACACATCTAGTGGGTACCAAGCTTGCTGGCACTTCTTTAAATGTTTTCTTTTCTAGAAACTGCCAGGATCCCAAGCACTATTTATCTAGTTTTTAATATTCAAGATGCTGGATTATAAAATGTTTATTTGAACAATAAACTGCCCTTTACCAGCCACACCTCAAATGAATTTTGAAAAGGGGTTTCAAAATCAGTTTACTGTGTAGTGGGTGGCAGTTTCTAGTTTAACAATACAAGTACACCATTAGAATGACTCTTTGCATTGTGCCAAAGTAAATAACATTTTAGAAGCCACAGTAAAATTTTTGAATAAAAGTAAAAACACTTATTATAATAAAATCATTTCATATCTCTAAATAATCACTGAATTTAGGATTGCTATTTAAAATAAATCATGTGATGATATTTTTGCTACATTCTGTCTAGCCATTCATGTACCCAGAAAAACTGAGTTCATTGCAAAGCAATACTTATAGATGTCGAGCAGTGTTTTCTTCTGCTCTCCCTTTTCCAACTTTGGGGAAGGGTAGAGGGTATGTATGGGAAGGGAAAACCTGCCTGCAGACGAGCCATAAGTACAGAGTAAACATCCACACTCTGTAGTCCTGTGCTTACTGTAAAGTAACTTTCAATGAATACATGTTTAAGATTATACTCTTCACTTTGTATGACATTGGTAACCTGTAGTTCTACATCTTGCACGTATACTATCCATAAAAATCCATTGTGAAATATAACTTTTAGATGGTAGTGACTGAATATTACATAATATGAAACATTTTCCCTGAAGTCCTTTCCTAAATACTGAGTTAGTGCTGTCTAGCTATCTCTAAATCAGCATCAAACAATACCAGCATAAAATTTGCTTTTGCTATCCTTGTCCTGTCTCCATTACATCTGTCTCATCTGAATATCGTCTTGCTTTGTGAGTATGTCAGGCATTATAGGCAAGGTGAATAAAGTTTTCCCTGCTGGCTGGTGATATGCTGAACCGAAACAGCAATAAAGCCAGAAGAGAAAGCGAATTGTGGTTCTAGAGCACAGAGACTTTTGGACTCTGCCTGGGTGTATCTAGGCCAGGCATGCATAACTTGTCAAGAGGAAGGGGCCACACTGATAAATTAAAAATCCACGTGAGCCACAGAGAAATACTTGGAGTGGAATCAGCTGTTCCACAGCTAGTGGAGTGGCAGAAGTGCTGGAGATGCTAAGCAGCATGTCTTTCAGGGCAACAGTAGTGGGTGATGGCGACTATAAATGTACTTCTTTTTAAAAAATGTAGGTGGGCCGTGAGCCATATATTGCACAGACCTGCTCTAGGTTGATTTGTCTGTCTCTTCTCCTGTACCCCTTTGGGCTGTGAGAATTACCTTGAGGAACAGGAGGAAGAGCCACAACCAACTGTCAGATAAGAGAAATCTGAGTCCAAAGCAGAAATGTAATTTGAGAACATGTCTTAAACTTGACCCTCCCTAGTTCTCTTTAGTATAAATGCGGGGGGCAGGGGAGGCCCATTCAGACTTGCAAGATTCTTACTGAAATCCTATAATAAAAGTAGTTGTAATATTCACAACATTGGTTTCCAATGTTGGTCTACTCAAAGGGCTGACATCTTTTTGGGCATCTCTCAAGTTAAAACAATGGGAAATAAACATATGGGAAGGCCTTAGGGCATTAAAAAACGAAGGAGGAAGACCTTTCCGTAATTCCGTAAATTCAAGGATCTGTAGAGAGAAAGATAACTGAAACTGACAAGCTATTTATTTATTTATTGCTACGATTTCTATGCTGCTTCATTCCAGACTGGCAGAGAGCAGCTTACAAGAGATAATGCATTAAAACAATAGAAAAATAACATGAAATGAAAACAATACCACAATAAAGATGCCACCCACTAGGGCAAGCACAAACTAACATCCCTCAAAGGCCAGCCCTGTGAAAACCCAGAAAGGAAGTAGGGTCTAGATATCTGAGGGCAAGCTGTTCTGCAAAAGAGAGGAGTCGAGAAAAGAGATTGAAACTGATTAATATAATGAAACTGGCAACCAAACAAATGCTCCTTCAACATTTCTCATTATTTTCTACATTGGCTGCTGCATCCAAACACAAAAATACCCAGTGATATCATTTTGAAATCTACTGAAGTGGAGATGCACAAATATGCCTGTCTTCTTCCCTGAATTTATATTGGTACATTTAATGATGACTTTAAGCTGTCTTACTCATGGACTGGGATGAAATAAAGGCAATGTATACAAATAAAGAGGATGATTGAGACTGTTAGGATATGACTAAGCAGTAAGACAAGGCCTCAATCAACAACAGCTAAACTCCTGTACAACCTGTCATAGGGCACATGTCCCAGTAGATATAAGTTTTGTAAATTGCCCTGAAAGTGTAACTTTGTAGTTACATATGAATTAAGATTATTGTTTTGCTAAAGGCACTATAAACAGATGAGACTGAATGTTCTGTTTTTGGAGCAATGCTGTTTCTTATCAGCTGCAAGTCAGATGATGATTCAGCAGATCCAGGACATAAAGCCAGATCCAACAGAGAGCCATGAGGCAACTGAGGTCTTGTGATTTCTTTCCTAATTGCCTTGAACAGTTGGGTTTGATTGTCTTTTTATCATCTGCAAGTTATGAATGGCCATGAAATGTACTATATAGTAAATGTAAATTATGTTTCAGACAGTTCTTACGGTAAAATGATAAATGTCTGCTGCCTAAATTATTTGTTTTCAGTATGTGTTTTATTTATACTGTTAACATGGCACAGTTTCAGCATTAGGTAAAAAGTGGTTTGAGGCACTTCGGGTACATTTTTATAGACAAATAAGGATTTAAGTTGAGTGCTGTAGCCCTGCTTTTTTTCTGGATTCATCAGTCATTATTATATTTATTTTATGTCAATAAAAATAAAATAATAAAAAAAATAGTGATCAGTTTTGTTGT